CAGATTAAGCACAGGGGAGATTCTCAGCTAGTATAGTTTAGAGTGACTCAGTGCACTCTAATGGAGTGAAGAAAACTCACCGGAGCCAAGGATCTGGTCCCTTGGCTCTAAATACAGCTGAAGTGCCATGGTGCAGTAAGACAAGAGGATATCCCACAAAGAAATGAAAAGGAGGTGCAGGTGAGTGACAAAAAGTTCTCCCATTATTCTAAAGCCTGCACAGAGGGAGAGTTTGTGAGGATACACTGAAAGATTTCTATAGTTTCATAGCTGGTAGAGTCGGAAGGGACCTGAGCAGATCATCGAGTCCAACCCCCTGCCATGGCAGGAAAGTACTGGGGTCAAATGACCCCGGCAAGGTGTCTATCTAGCCTCCTTTTAAAGACCCCCAGGGTAGGGGCGAGCACCACTTCTCTTGGAAGTTGGTTCCAGATCCTAGCCACCCTGACCGTGAAGTAGCGCTTCCTGATGTCTAGCCTGAACCGACTCTCCGTCAACTTATGGCTGTTATTCCTTGTTGCTCCCGGTAGTGCTCGGGGGAACAGAGACTCTCCCATTGCCTGCTGGTCTCCTTTGGCCAGTTTATAGATGGCCACAAGATCCCCCCTCAGCCTTCTCTTGTGGAGGTTGAACAGGTTCAGGTCCTGTAGCCTCTCCTCATAGGGCCTGCCCTGCTGCCCCCTGATCATACGAGTGGCCTCCTCTGGACCCTCTCCATGCTGCCCACATCCATCCTGAAGTGCAGCACCCAGAACTGGACGCAGTACTCCAGCTGCGGCCTGACCAGTGCTGCATAGAGGGGGAGGATCACCTCCTTGGACCTGCTCGAGATGCATCTGTGGATGCATGACAAGGTGCGGTTTCTCTTACTGGTCTAGTAAAGGAAAGATCCATACCTGGCTCAGTGGTGTATCCCTCTGTCTGTCACTGTAACAGGTGGCTTTTGAAGATGCACCTGGTCAGTCCTGAAATATCAGGAAATGTTCTAGGAACCAGAACCCTATTACCTTCCATGAAAACTGGGGGGAAAGCTTAACAAGTGCACACAGTCTTTTGCATGTGGTTAGCTCTACCCATAGTTTCACGCACTTTCTCTGTGGATCAGAGAACCTATTGATGGAGTCATTAACACATTCAGGCATAACAGTATACCCCCAGTTCCACTCTGTCTGTCCACCCAAAAAAAATTAAGCCTTGATAGACTTATTTCGCAGACAAAAAAAAAGAAATAAGAACCATCAGAGAGAGAGAAAGAGAGGCTGGAGAGAACAGGTGTGCACATGGGGCACCTAGCATGGTGCAAGTAAAATTAAGAAGGTCCCTGACATAGAAGTACAGGTGATGTTGCAATGAGACTCAGAGCCTGGGCTGTGTCCTTGTTATTCCACGTGCAGGAAATACAATTTCTTGATAAAGTCTACAGTTTGTCACAGGTGGCTTTCCCCCCCCTAAATCTGCTCTGGAAATGTCACATAGCCAATAAAGAGCCATTACTGAAATGTGCAAACTAGACTCAGCTTTGTTATGTAGAACTAAAAGACTCCACATCCCTCCACATCCGGGGGCCAAGCAGTATGCAGCCTTGACTTATAAGGCTGCTTTTACTCTTTACAGGTCATTTCCTGAGCTCAGACAAAGCCCAGCTAGTTGTATTTAATTTACTAGAATGCCATAAATTCACCTACCATGGCTGCACCCCTCTGCTGGCAGTTATTAAAATTATAGCAAGGTGATGTAGTCATTGCCAGAGTGGTTGTGCACCACTGCAGAATTCCCCAGTTGCTAGACTGGTCTTAATTCACAAAATAAACTCAGAGGGCACGTCCAGACAAGCACACACGTGCAGTTTGTGTCACCTCAAAGTGTTTGAAGTGACACAAACTGCATGCGGCGCATGTGCCCCCCAGTGTGTGGAATGGGGGGATTGACACTGGGAGATTCTGATGCCAAAAAAAAGCAGTGCAGCCCACACGACAGCAGCATGCACTGCCAGAAATCGGAGCCTCGCCGGCCAGAGCCATACTCTGGCTGCCAGCCAGGCTCTGAGCAGCTAGCTCAACACTGCTGCTGCCCTGGGAGGCCCTCAGGACCCCAAGTAAAGCTGCAGGCTCCCCAGCCTCTCCTACCCCACCCCAGTTATTTTGCCGTGCACCAGGGCACGTGAGCAGGGGCATGCCAGGGGACAAATAGCAGTGGCACAAATAGATGCCACTGCTATTTGTCTCATGGGCAACACATGTCCCTGGACACGTGCGCCCATTGGGATACACCCAGAGTTTTCAAATAAGAATCCACCATGTTACAGACATTCTGACCTGTTGTGGTCTTTCTGGCCGTGTCCAAACAAGTGTGGCCATGTGATGTGTGGTACTACACATACACCTGCTGTTTGACCATGGTGGGGAGGAGGGTTGGATATCCAGGGGTCAAAAAAAAACCCACAAAAAGAAAAGTGGGGCAGCACATGCCACTCAAAACCAGAGCCTGGCCAGCCAGAGCCATGCTCCAGCTGTTGGCCGGGCTCTGAGCAGCAAGGATGCCATTGCTGCAGCCCCCAGGACCCCAGGTAAGGCTGGTAGGGCCAACCTAGTGCTGGCCTCAGCCTCCCCTACCTCATCCAGGGTAACTTGTCACACGCCAGAGGGCACATGGCACTCAGGCATTCCCTGGGGACAACTATGGGCAGCCGCTGCAAGCTGTCCCCAGGGAACCAAATGTCCGCACTTGTGTGGATGTGGCCTCTTTGCAACAGAAGAATTGTGCTAGTATTTTTCTGTAGTCAAAATCCGTGTGAAAACTACAACCTGGCATTTTCCGAGGGATGCCTCAAGCATACTGGCTACTTTGTGCATGTTGTTCAGAGCAAAAGCAGCCTCACTGCACTATCCAGACCTGTATAGTTGCACAGTGAGAGCCAGGGCTTCGTATGATGTAAAACAGGGTAATTCCATGAAGTTGATGGGCTATGCTAATTTACACCAGCTGATGATCTGGCCCATACTCAGACTGGATGGGGAAATGCAATTTTCTGCACATAAATGTCAAAATTATGCTTTTCAATTTTAATAGGATTTTTTTCTTGCAGGTGAGCAAAGGACTTTTACACAGATTTACTTTGTTCTAGTCTTGTACATTGTGATGTACTGAAGAAGTTTGGCAGTAGCAACTTAAATCACACCTGCATTTTTCAAGTTCTTTGCAATGCATTTCCCAAGGGAGAAAAATATAGATAATTTAGCATTCTTTTATCACTTTTGTACCATGTTAGGTAGACTTATTTTTTTTATTTATCCATGTAGAAGACTGTTATCTGAGACAGTTATTGATGAATAGAAGTATTCTTGACTTTAAACCATTAAAGCAAAATGACATTTCAAGTCCCATGTAAATTAGACCGCTGTTAAAAAAAAATTATAGAATCATTGAAATGAAGGTCGCCAAAAGGTCCTGTAGTCTCTCCCCTGTACAGAAGTAGGATATGTATACTTAAACCATCCTTAATAGATCTCTGTCTAACACACTCTTAGGAACTGCCAATGAAGCAGATCCTATAACGTCTCAAATTAGCCTGTTCAAGCACTTACCTATCCCTGTAGTTCAGTGTAGCTTAAATACTTGGAAAACCTTATTGTCTTCTGCAAATTAAGCCAAACTCCAGTGGGCATGGCGAAAAACTGATCGCTATCCTCTTTTTAAAACTACCTTTTGCATATTGGAAGTCTTTCATTTTTTCCCCCCTCGGTCTTTTTATAGTAGGCCTTATTCTATAACCCAATGCATTCATAAAAATATTGAATAGAACCAGACTTGGAGACAGACTTCTGCTAAGTATTGTGTCATTGTAATTTGTTTTTTATTTCGTTTTTTTCTTTGTTCAATTGAAAAATCAAAACCGATAAAAGATTTAGATTCTGAGTTTTAAAAAATGTATTCAGCATGTAAAGCAACTGTTTTTGCCACTACAGACATTAAAGGGATGTTTGAATGCAGCAGTTCAGAACAAGATACAATCATTGCTTGAAACCTGTCAAGGAAAGTATTTCCACCACTAAAAATGTTTGTGTCAGAATGGACCTGGTGATTTGGGCTTATATTTTCAGTACTCACAGCTAGGTCTGAGAGGAAGAAGGAGGAAACATTTTTTCTGGCAGCGTAATTGCAGAATAACAAGCAAATTCTGTCTACAGTCACTAATTATTTTAAATAAATTTAAACTGCATGGAGCCCTCTTAATAATGAAGCCATTTTTTTTTACAAAGCAGCTTCAGTGCAAATGGAAATGGAATTGAAATTGGCATATTGTGATGTATTGAAACAATTTGGGGCTTTCATCCTACTTCACTATAAATGTAATTTCACTACAGTCCTGTCCATGCAGGAAAAAATTCCTTGAACTGAAAAGACCTGGAAGAGCAGACCTTGTCAACATAAAATAGATTTTGCTGTTACCAGCCAACCATGATGGGCTGGGTGAGCAAAGTAAAAATGTTTTTAGAGTCCTTGAAAAACTATAGAAATGTGTGTTCCAGCACAGTGGGTTGTTTGATGCACAACTATTGTTTGATGTACTATGTTTCCTTTTGGTATGGTAGCTCATTGTTAACTTTTACAGTTGTAAGTGAAAGCCATTGGCATCACTACAAACTAGTTAATACCCGAATGACCGCTTTGATCTAATGTCACACTTTGAATTCTGACCACTTAAACCCCGCACCTGGACATCCGCTTTTGCTTTTTATGTATATACGGGAGTTCTGAAAACAAACCAGCCAACCTGAATCAGGAATGAGGATATGATGCATTCATGGGTTTAAAAAAAAATTTTAAAAAGGAGTAGAGTGGTTGCATAAGGCTTTTATATGGTGGTAACACTCCTGACCAAAATCCCCATTGATGTCTGGTGCCAGTATGCATGTGGCAATAGTTCATTATCAATATGTAGCTCATGACAAAATGAGAAATTCCCTTTTCAAGGTTTGTCTTCTTTGAATCTCACGTAGAACTATGCACGCTGGACTGTGGGAGCCACGGAGTTTGTTCAAGAGGAATATGCCAGTGTGAAGAAGGCTGGGTAGGACCGACCTGTGAAGAACGTACATGCCATTCTCACTGTGCTGAACATGGCCAGTGCAAAGATGGGAAGTGTGAGTGCAGCCCTGGATGGGAAGGAGACCACTGCACCATCGGTGAGATTTTTAACTTAAAAAAAAAAAAAAAAAAA